AACTCTCAGGCGGCATTTATTGATCTCCAAACTGCTTTTGATACAGCAAACAGAGAAATAATCCTAGAACAGCTAGCCTCTTTTGGAGTTAAGGGAAGACTGTTGACATGGCTCAGGGGGTACCTGAGTAACAGAACCGCCTCAGTCCTTTTCAAGGGGGTCAAAAGTAAACTCTGTGCACCCTTTGAGTTGGGTACACCCCAGGGTGGAGTGCTAAGTCCTACACTGTTCAATGTTCTGATGCACAAATTAACAATTGATATTCCCACACTACCTGACGAAGCCGTCATTTGTTATGCCGATGATATATGCATTGTTGCAAATTCCCAAACCAGACTGCAAGCTCTACTTGATTCATTCGCTGCTAAAAGCATTGAATGTGATCTTGTTATCTCTATAACTAAATCCAGAGTTCTCCATCCCCAAGAGAAAACTCATGTCCCTATAGCTTTCAAGGTCAACAACCAGAACATTGAAACGTGTGGGCAGCACAAATACCTTGGAGTTGGTATTAACAGTGACATTGTAAATGATCTTCACCGCAGGTTAAAAGAAAGACTAAAACCATTGAGAACACTTACTGGTAAGAATATTGGTATCAATATTAAATATGCTAGACTATTCTATATGATGTTCGTTAGATCTCTCGTTGATTATAATGCTCTGCACTTAATTAATTTCCCCCTCCTCTGTGTTGGACAAACTTGAAGTAGTACAGAATGAGGCCATGAGGATAATTCTTGGTGCCCCAAGATGCACAAAAATCATCAACATGAGGGAAGAACTGAAGCTTCCAACCATACTAGAGAGAATAATGCAAGTTAACACTACCTTCTGTCTTAAAGTCATGAGAGATCCTACATCTCCTGCATTGCTCAGAGACAAATTATTTAGTGCTGTTAACACCCTTTTGACTGGTGCCGACATACCAACTCACTCCTTTTATGATAATTGGCTGAGCAACAATGCTTACAATCTCATTAAACTTAACATACGTTTAAGTGCAATCTACCTGTCTCTGATATTCCTCTTTATCTGTACCCCACCATTCAAGTATCATACACACCTGTCACCAAGAAAGATAATGAGAATCTTGCTCTACTCAAAGCTGTCACTCTTGAAACAATTGTCTCCTCCATCGAGAGTTTAAGATCTCACGAGCACTGTGTCTACACCGACGGCTCAGTCCAGTCTTCTACTGGACGGACTGCAGCGGCATGTAGGTTTTATAGAAATAATATTTGCACAAAGACTGTCAGTGTCAGGTTAAACAACTGGCTGACCTCCACACAAGCAGAACTAGCAGCATTACACTTAGCAACCAGTACATTAAAAAACATTGGAGGAGCAATAATATTCTGTGATTCAAAGTCTGCTCTTCAAGCAATCGAAAACTTCTCTTGGAAGATCGACAGCAAGAACCTCATACTCCCAATTATAAATGACCTAATTGATGCACAGAGTAAAGGGTTTCGAATCTCCTTTGTATGGATACCTTCACACATAAATATAACCCATCATAATGAGACAGACATTGCAGCCAAACTAGCGTGTAACAAGTCTGAAGTTGAATTAGATCTAGGTATCCCCATCTCTGATGTCAAAACTGTATTGGTCCAAACATTCAGATCTGATAGGAAAGAACTTACTGACTCCCAACGACCTGAAAGTACTAGTATAAAAAGCTATGATTTGTTCAGATCTGAAAGCTACATCTATGGACAGCACAAAACGTCCACTAGACTGTGCGACACAGTGGTTGCAAGGATCAGGTTGGGTTACCGTTACCTGTGGCAGGTGGCTGTAGGTGACGGGTCTCCCAATCCTGAGCACTCCAGTTGCAAACTCTGTGAGCAGGAACTGCGGCATGATCTGCCACACTACATCACCTAATACTTGTATTTTAATATATAACTGAGGGCTAATATTAATTTTGTTTAATTATTAATTCATTCAATAATTATTCAATAGGCAGAGGATTTTAATATTTCACCATAAAAAATTGGTTAAGGGTCTCGTAATGTCCCTACCCAGCTCTCTCTCTCTCTCTCTCTCTCTCTCTCTCTCTCTCTCTCTCTCTCTCTCTCTCTCTCTCTCTCTCTCTCTCTCTCTCTCTCTCTCTCTCTCTCTCTCTCCTTCCACCTTGTTATTTGACCTTTCAGACCAGTTGGCATGAGGTACCTGGAGCTTTGCAATTACTTTATTCACTCTCGTATTCTTGAAGATATCCTCACAGTGTACCCAAAATTTGCCAGTGCAGACTACTGAACATATGGCTCTGTGTGACTAACCATCCTGCGAGATGGGGACTTGTATTACCACTGCTACCTTATTCACTCTTGTGTTGATGATATCTTCATAATGAACCCAGAGTCTGTCAGTGCAGACTACTTATCACATGCCTCTGTATGACTAACCATCCTGTGTGATGGGGATTTGAGTGTCAAGATTCATCCATAGCTAGGCTAGACTGCAGTCTTGCCTATGTACTGTTGAAGACCTAACGGTTGAAAATGTTATAGCAAAATTTTACTTTTATAAATGTAAAAATGTTTCTTTTATAAATCATTTGTGATTTTTCCGTACACCTTGATCAGTGTTTCATGATATATACATCTCAGAGACAGATTTTCCTTTGGGAAATATTATTTTTATGAGGGAACAGAAATTCAAGAGAAACGACGCAGATTTGCTTCACTTACCCCGACAGCTCCTTGCTAACCTACCTGGCCTACGCCCAGAGCTCCTTGCTAACTTTCCTTACTTTCCTACTTTCCTGACGGCTAGAAAGAAGCACACCTTCCTCGCCCGCCCTAAGAGTTCCTCACCAAAGGACCTGGGTCCAGCGCTGCCCAGCCTTCCTGACTGTCAACAACTCCTTCATCAATACAACAATATCGCCTGTCTGTTCCCCAGAGGCGACCTCGTTTCTTACTGCTCGGCCAGAGACACACACGAGCAGAGGGTGCTAAAAATATGATCATTTTACGTACAGGTTAACTCTTATTAACTTTCCACGAATAAAACAACAACATTATTTTTCATATAAGGGAAAATTTCAAGAATATAATGCTCTGATTTGAGACGAGACAAAAGAGGAACAGAAAACGAAACTTTTTGTATATCTTTTAGTATGGATATTAAAACATGCACGAAGAGTGTGGGAGTCTCTTGTTATATGGAAGGGATGGTAGTCTGTTGTTATATGGAAGGGGTGGTAGTCTGTTGTTATATGGAAGGGATGGTAGTCTGTTGTTATATGGAAGGGATGGTAGTCTGTTGTTATATGGAAGGGATGGTAGTCTGTTGTTATATGGAAGGGATGGTAGTCTGTTGTTATATGGAAGGGGTGGTAGTCTGTTGTTATATGGAAGGGGTAGTAGTCTGTTGTTATATGGAAGGGGTGGTAGTCTGTTGTTATATGGAAGGGATGGTAGTTTATTATATTAAAGAGGTGGTAGTTCTTGTTATCATAAAGAGGAAGGGGTAGTCCTTGTCCCGTAAACCCGCCCATGTTATATGGACCTGCTCTTGTTACGTAAAGCCGAGATTACACTGTGTTAACTCACTCGGCTACGATGTCTGTTGAAGGCGCCTGTTTGCCATCATCACTAGTAATCCACAAGAGATGGATTACTAGGGTTGTCCGGAGCTTCTGAACAATACTAATATTATTATTAACATCTTTATGGATAAAATTTAATTACAACTTTGCCTAATCTGATGATTTCAATTAAGTCTTATTATAGTGAGGATAATGGTGGTATTCACTGCCACACAGGACACAGGGTCATACACACGACAGTAGGTCTGAACTGTAGGCTGAGGCACATATATATCATGGTTACAATCAATGTTTCAATGCACAAATATGTAAATACAACTTCTATTGTGCACTGCCACACAAGGGCAGGGATGGGTTCGTAAGTGATGCAGCTTAAAAATTATATAAATAAAATTGTTCTTCATTCTTTAACATGGACAAGAAAATTTTGGATAAATTGTTATGATGTCCAGTTAACCACATTCAATGAAATAGTTACACAGTTGGTGGTACAATAGGCCAGGAGGTGTATAGTCTTTTACGGTTTCACATTCAACAGTAGTGTTCTAGTGAGTGCATTAAAGGTTTATCACAGAGTTTACAATCTGAGTATTCTGGTAGTGGCTCAGCCTCACTAACCTGCCAGATGTGTCTATAGCCAAGGTGAATTCGAGCAATTGACTACATCACATTGCCTGGTCCGGTTACTGTGCTGGCCATACAAATACCTATTATTACACAAGTTGTCGTAGCTTTTAATACTGCAGCTCTCAGGTCTTTGGGTATTTCTTAGTTCTTCTAAATTTGAAGTAATTTTTTTAATTTGTATGTTTCTAATCATTGCATTAGATAGTCCAAAGTCATAATCAGTGTTTTCTTTCCTGTAAGTCTCATTGGCCAATCGATCTACAAAGTCATGTTTTCCAACTCCAACATGGGATGGGATCCACGCAAATTTTATTTTTACACACTAGTTATTATCATTGGCACAAATCTATTTTATACAATAGTTATTATCATTGGCACAAATCACATTCCATTTAATATTAGAAGCTACTTCAGACATAAATACTAAGAGATCATTACACACTTCAGGAAATACCCTTCTTGCATTTCTACAAGAATTTCTGAATTTTCTATTATATTTTCTTTTCTACAGGGCGACATTAAGAATTAATTTTATAAAGTGCCACGTAATATCAGGGAGAACGATTTCAAGACGATCTTTGTAAGTGGTGAAGCCAACAAATTATCGTTGGAATATGTATAGATGGTCAGTCAAGTGGAGGGGGGGGGAGGGGGGGAAGGGGGGCTCTCCACAGGACTCCTGGTAAGCTGGATCTGAAAGCAGTCATTTGGGATTCGTAACCAGTCAACTGGCTGGTCGAGAAAATCAGTCAACTAGGGCTGCAATCATTCAACCGATCTCTGAAACCTCCCGGTCAATTGGTTATAGATCCAGTCAGCCGAGCAGTCAGTCGGGATTGGAGCAAGTCGGCCTAGTCTGAAGGCCGTCTGTATTCGCTCGGTCAAGTTTGAACTTGATTATCCGATGCATTCTGGAGTTATAGTGGATTACCAGCATACGCTCGCGCACACCACCAACTCCGACTTCTGCAGTGTAAAGTGGACACACACACACACACACACACACACACACAGGGTTCAGAGATTACATAACAGGAACTATAACAATGGGTGGACCAAAGATAATAGTGGCAGTCATTTACAACCCTCCCCTAAATGACTGAAGACCCAGACAGGAGTTTGATAGGAACAACATGGCAACCAATAATATAATAGAGAGAGCAGCTTCAGTTGCCTGCAGGAATGGGGGCCCACATGGTGGTGCAGATACATGGAAAGTTAAACTCTTGGAAGTGGCAACAAGAAACTATCTAAGCCAGCACGTCAGGGAACCCACAAGAATGAGAGGTAATGACGAACCAGCTAGACTCGACCTGATATTCACCCTGAATGAGTCAAAAATAAGGGATGTCAAAGTTGAAGCCCCCATAGGAATGAGTAGCCACAGTGTATTGACATTTGAGTACTTGGTGGAGGTAGGGTTAACCTATACAAGGATGGGATTGGAAGGGAAAAAACTAAATTACCGAAGAGGAAAATATAACGAGATGAGGAACTTCCTAACGGAAATACCATGGGAAACAGAACTTAGATACAAGACTGTACAGGATATGATGGACTATGTCACCCAGAAGTGCCAGGAAGCTGCAGACAGGTTTATCCTGGTCCAAAAGGAGAAAGACGAAAAGCAAAAGAAGAATCCATGGTTCAACCAGGAATGTAAGGCAGCGAGCAACTGAGTAAAAGAACATGGAGAAACTACAGAAATAACAGAACACCAGACAGCAGGGAGAGTTACCCGAGGGCCAGGAATGAGTACCTCAGAGTGAGGAGGGAAGCAGACAGTATGAAAATGACATCGCGAGTAAAGCCATGACCCAATCAAAATTGCTCCACAGTCACATCAGGAGGAAAACAGCAGTTTTTTTTTTTTTTATTATTATTTTCTACCACAGACGTAGCCACACATTTACAATGCTAACCAGAATATATACATTTTCTTCTGTCCTCCATGGACAGGGTTAGAGAAATATTAAACATATAGTTCAAGGGTTTATTGAACACTCAACCACAGAAGGTGATTCGGTGCTTTTAAAATGCTAAGCTAACCTACATACGTAAATACATAGATACACAGATTTCCGTATGCCCTACATAAAGTGTTTGATGTGACTTTTACATAGTGTCATTAATGTACATTCACAAAGGTGAAATGTAATTCTGATCAGCTTCCATATATACTTTATACCCATACATATACATACACACACACATATACATATATACACACACATGCATTCACATACATCTGTCTCATTTACTCTGACAGGGTGAGATAGCTGATAAAGAAACTAGTGTGCAATTAAGCACTTAATCACTGAAGGTAATGAAGGTGTTTTTACAAGCTCAGGTTATATAGTTACATCATATATATACATTGTATAAATGATGTATTACATGGTCAATCATGGATACAAGTCCAATATATCATCAAGTGTTCCAGTACTCATATAGTAATTACAGAGTTCAGCATACCTTAGCCCAGGAGGGCGAAAGTCAGTCAGTATGGGACATTCTACAATATAATGTTCAAGAGAGTGCATGTTTTCTCTTAAAACAGCAGTGAAGGAACAAGTGATGAAACTGAGAATAGGGGAGAACAGATACAGAGAATGACAAGGAGGTGTGTGAAGAACTCAACAAGAGATTCCAGGAGGTCTTCACAAAAGAACAAGAAGAAGCCCCTGCACTAAATGAGGAGGAAGCAAACCATGCAATCTTGGAGGAATTTTACCTCACCAGTGATGAGGTCAAAAGGAATCTGTTGGAGCTGAATGTGACAGTATCTCACCATGGATACTAAAGGAAGGTGCAGAAGCACTAAGTGTGCCACTCTTTATGGTGTATAACAGTCACTGGAAACAGGAGACCTACCGGAAAGTTGGAAGACAGCTAACGTAGTTCCAATATACAAGACGGGTGACAGGCAAGAGGCACTGAACTACAGGCCAGTTTTCGTAACTTGTATACCTTGCAAGGTGATGGAGAAGATCGTGAGGAAAAGGCTCATAGAGCATCTGGAGGGAAATAGCTTTGTAACACACCACCAACATGGGTTCAGAGATGGTAAATCGTGCCTCACAGGTTTAATAAGAGTTCTATGACAAGGCAACAAAAATTAGGCAAGAAAGAGAAGGGTGGGCAGACTACATTTTCTTGGACTGCCAGAAAGCCTTTGACACAGTTCCCCATAAAAGGCTGTTAAAAAAGTTGGAGCAACAGGCAGGAGTATAAGGGAAGGTGCTCCAGTGGATAAGGGAGTATTTAAGCAAAAGGAAACAGCGAGTAACGGTGAGGGAGGAGACATCAGAGTGGCGAGATGTCCCCAGCGGAGTCCCACAGGGCTCAGTACTTGGACCCATCCTGTTTCCAATATATGTAAACGATCTTCCAGAGGGTATAGACTCATTCCTCTCAATGTTTGCTGATGATGATGCAAAAATTATGAGAAGAATCAAGACTGATGAAGATAGACAGAGGCTACTGGATGACCTGGACAAACTGGAGGAATGGTCTAGAAAATGGCTGCTAAAGTTCAACTCAGGAAAGTGTAAAGTAATGAAATTAGGTGAAGGGGAGCAGAAGGCTGAACACAAGGTACCATTTGGGAGGTGAAATCCTGCAAGAGTCAAATAGAGAGAAAGATCTAGGGGTTGATATCACACCGAACCTGTCCCCAGAGGCCCACATCAAAAGGATATCATCAGCGGCATATGCTAGGTTGTCCAACATAAGAACTGCCTTTAGAAACTTGTGTATGGATTCGTTCAGGACCCTGTATACCACTTACGTCAGACCAATCCTGGAATATGCAGCTCCAGCCTGGAGTCCATACCTAGTTAAACACAAGACAAAGTTAGAGAAGATATACCACCAGGTATACCACCAGGCTCGTCCCGGAACTGAGAGGTATGAGCAACGAGGAAAGGCTGAAGGAGCTGAACCTCACTTCCCTGGAAAACAGAAGAGTAAGGAAAGACATGATAACCACCTACAAAATTCTCAGGGGAATTGACAGGGTGGACAAAGACAAACTCTTCAGCACGGGTGGAACACGAACAAGAGGACACAGGTGGAAACTTAGTACCCAGATGAGCCACAGAGACGTTAGAAAGAATTTTTTCTGTGTCAGAATAGTTAATAAATGGAATGCACTAGGAAGTGATGTGGTGGAGGCTGACTCCATACACGGTTTCAAATATAGGTATGATAGAGCCCAATAGGCTCAAGAATCTGTACACCAGTTGATTGACGATTGAGAGGCGGGACCAAAGAGAAAAAACTCAACCCCCGCAAGCAAAACTAGGTGAGTACACACACACACACGCACACACACACACACACACACACACACACACACACACACACACACACACACACACACACACACACACACACACACACACACACACACCGCCGGCAGGCCGAGTGGACAGCACGCTGGATACGTGATGCTGTGGTCCCGGGTTCAATCCCGGGCGCCGGCGAGAAACGATGGGCAGAGTTTCTTTCACCCTATGCCTCTGTTACCTATCTTGAGGTTACCTTGAGATGATTTCGGGGCTTTTTTTTTTTTTTAGTGTCCCCGCGGCCCGGTCCTCGACCAGGCCTCCACCCCCAGGAAGCAGCCCGTGACAGCTCACTAACACCCAGGTACCTATTTTACTGCTAGGTAACAGGGGTATAGGGTGAAAGAAACTCTGCCCAATGTTTCTCGCCGGCGCCTGGGATCGAACCCAGGACCACAGGATCACAAGTTTAGCGTGCTGTCCGCTCGGCCGACCGGCATTTACCTAGCAGTAAATAGGTACCTGGGTTTAGTCAACTGTCACGGGCTGCTTCCTGGGGTGTGTGTGTGGGGGGGATAGTAGTAGTAGAAACAGTTGATTGACAGTTGAGAGGCTGGCCGAAAGAGCAGAGACTCCATACACAGTTTCAAATGTAGATATGATAGAACCTAGTAGGCTCAGGAATCTGTACACCAGTTGATTGACAGTTGAGAGGCGGAACCATAGAGCCAGAGCTCAACCGCTGCAAACATAACTAGGCGAGTACACTCACACTCTCACATACACACACACAGATTGCCAAAGAGCCTCTGACACAGTTCCCCATTGGAGACTAGTGCACAAGCTGGAGATGCAAGCAGGAGTAAAAGGGAAGGTTCTCTAATGGATATTAAGGGAGTATCTAAGCAACAGAAGACAGCGAATCACTGTGAGGTGTGAGGTCTCAGAGGGATGAGGTTTCACAACAGGGACCTATCCTTGGACCTATCCTCTTTCTGATATATGTGAATGATCACCCAGTGGGAATAGATTCGTTCTTCTCAATGTTTGCTGATGATGCAAACATTAGTAGGAGGATTAAGACCGAAGAAGATAGCAAGAGGCTACAAGATAACCTAGATCAACTTAACTAATGGTCCAACAAATGGCTACTAAAGTTCAACCCAAGTAAATGTTAGGTAATGAAACTAGGCGGAGGGAACAGGAGTCCAAACACAGGAAATCGAATGGAAGACAAAGTCCTCCACGAAACGGACAGAGAATGATCTAGGAGTTGATATCAAGCCGAACCTGTCTCCTGAAACCCACATCAAAAGAATATAATCAGCGGCGTATGCAAGGCTGGCTAACATCAGAACTACCTTTAGAAACTTGAGTAAATTCTTATTCAGAATCTTGTATACCCCATATTTAAAGCCAATCCTGGACTATGATGCCCCAGCATGGGGTAACTTATCAAGCTCAAGACGAAGCTGGAGAAAGTTCAGAGGTATGCCACTAGACTTGTCCCAGAAGTAAGAGGCATGAGTTACAAGTGAAAGGCTGCGGGAATTGTGCCGCATGTCCCTGGAAGACAGAAGAGCTCGGAGACATGATCACCACATACAAAATATTCAGGGGGGAATTGATAGTGTAGATAAGGACTGATTATTTAACACGGGTGGTACACCCACAAGGGGATGCA